TGTTTTCTAACGTACTTTTTCAGAACTGTTTATTACAAGTATTAGGTACCCCTAGTGGAGTTTATAGCCTGAATTTTTAAGTCAGTCATAAAAAACTATACCATCACATTTTCTCTTATTCCAGCCTGCACATATGGTGGAACCAGGGTAACAATCATCCCTCACCCCAAGAAAAGCCCTTAAGAATAGAGTACAATAAATAAATATTAAAAGACCCTAAACCTTTGGCCAGCTGCCATTTATTAGCCACTGAAACTTCCAGAGTCTCAAAATCCCCATCTGTAAAATGGCATTAACATTGATTGGTTCAGGCTGTTTTTAGATGATGCATTTTAGGTGTTTGGTAATTTTGAAGTTTATATACACTCAGAGGATAAGCATGCTATCTCACGCATCTGCAAATATGAATGAAACCTATTAATGCAATGAGTGCCAGCACAATCACTTCTAAACACCTTATACCAGAGAGTAACCATCAACAGCTAGCGTTTACCAAACGTCAGCACTGTGCTAACCGCTCTACGTGCACTCTCTCACTACAGCCTTACAGTACTTTGAAGTAGACAGATGTTTCTGTCATGCTAATTTTACAGATGAAGAGAATGAGATACAGATGTTCAGTTGCTTAAAGTCATCCACCTCATAAGTGTTGGAGCCAGGAAGCGAAATCAGGTCTGCCTGTCTTTAGAGCCAGTGTTTACAACCATAGTGTTATACACTGCACCCACTTTAGTCAGGAATGGATATAAATTACCAATGTAAAACATAGCATCACAGGGTTAAAATGCATGCTGTCTGGGCAAAGATGGTGGATTGAGCACCTGCCTTTACTTCCACTCCCTCCTGAAATTCTATTAAACAACATCAAGGATTTTTGCCTTAAGATGTTTGTGTAAAAACTGTTTGGTGGGAAGGTATAGCTCAAAGTAGTAGAGCATATGCTTAGCATGCACGAGGTCCTCGGTTCAATCCCCTCTGAAAAAAAGTAAATAAATAAACCTAATCCCCCCCCACCAAAAAAATTATTTAGGTACACACTTAAAAAGATGGAAAAGGAGTAAAGGAGACAATAGCAACAAAGTTAGAAGGTGGAAAGCATGTGGACAGGAGTAAATAACATGGTAGACCCAAGAAAACTAAATTCTGAGTCAAGCAGTAGGAAAAGCAAAACAAGTAATAACCCAATATACAGCATAGAATCCCTAAAAGGTTCAAGAATCGTTGGCTTCATGTGCCTTTGAAAGTAGGACATGAAGGACTAGACACTAAAAAACTGGTTAATGTTTTAAGTAGGCCGATGCTGTCTGCAAATCTACAAAGTTAAGCAGCCTCTCTTTCCCTTTTATTTTCTGAAAAGGGTAAAATAGGAGGTTCTCCGGGTTGTGAGATACCAGACAGTTATGGGCAGGAGTAATGTACTCAATACAGACTCAGTGAACAGACATATACTGGACATGAGATACAGAAAATAAGATACAGAAAACAAGACAGCCAACATGGGAAAGGAGAAAAGGAATTCCCAGGATGATGGTGAAGGGAGGTCCCAGAATAAAGCCACACATCAGGCACAGAAGACTATCAGTCCAGACCGGGGCAGGTCAGAAGGCTCCAGGAAAAACTCATTCAGGAAGACAAAACAGCACAGCTCATGACACTGAATGCCATAAGTAACTTAGATATATGGCAAAAAGTTTAGCTGATGTAATGTGGTAGGTTCATAAAAAACTAAGTCTAGGAAAATGAAAAAGATACACAGGAAAAGAAAACAACAGCATTTGGATTCCTAGTGAAATCAATCTAATCAAAACCACACTAATTAGTACACTGGAAAGAAAAAGAAATGAGATGTGTGAGTGAGGGAGGGAAGGAAAGAGACCCAGAGCCTTACATATGTGAAGAAGTCAGTAGGCAATGTCTAAAACAGGAAAATCATAAAGTTACAACATAATTATGTTATCTAGAGACAAGAAGGTAAATCCAATATAATTAGCTAAAAAGAGGTGAATGTAGTTACAACTGGAAAGAAGGTTAAGGACTATCCCCTTCTCCCAACAAACTTGGAGAACTGACTTAAATATAGCATTTTTCCCCTTTGGTGGTATTTATTAACATAGTCTCAACCTCAAGCAGTAACATTGCCTTTGACAAAGACTGCTGAAGAATAAAACCATATTAGAGG